GAGCATATATAAATATAAATATAAATAAATATATATATATATGTATATGTATATATATATACACATGTATGTATGTATTTACATATATATATATAATATGAAATATGTAGATGCCATAGGGGAGGGGGTGAGTCGGAGTTTCGCAACACCAGAAGGTTCCGGCCATCGAATCTGCGACAGAGTTCTCCAGGTGGTGGTTTCGTAGCTTTGGTTAAAAGTAAGTAAGTTCGTGGAAGAGGCAAGGTCGACAGACAGCACAGAGTTCAAACACAAGGCTTCCGGTCATTGAGCTTCGCCACGAGAGTCCGATATAGGCTGTCGTGACAGGACTGCATGCATTGGGGTCCAACTTGCATCGGGCCTCGAGGCAGTTCCTCCTGAGCCACATGCCCGAGTTTGACTTGCACTTCCTCCCAGGCAGCAGTCTTTCGCGCTTGTTCTTGGCGCTTACACAGCTTCAATTGTGGGCATTCGGGGTTGCAGGTTTGGGGGCACGCTCTTTTGCTGTTTGTGTTGTAGACGGCCCCGATCAGCTGTCCACATAAAACAGTGGTGACAGGCTCCGTGTCCGTGGACGGCGAGTCCATGCTGGATGACAACATTGCCTTTGCTCTTATGGCCGGAGCCTGAGTTGCAAGGGACGCACCTGATTCAGAAAGGGTCGTCATTCAATGTATACATGTCGTAACGCAAGTGTAACGACAGGGCTGTTCAGCTCGAAGGCTTTGCATTCACTGGACACTGTTCGAACAAGGGCGAGTGTGAACCGTCGACACGCTCAAGACTCATGGCTCCAGCCTGGCTGATCGGGGCCCTCGAGCTTTTGCGGGGTCTTCTTCAGGGTTTGGCGTGTCCGGCTCACTGCTGGCTGGTTGGGTCTGTCTTCCTTGTGGGCACTGGTGCTGGGTCCCTTCTTACCCTTTACGTTTTTCGTTACCAGCTCTTCAGGGTGGACTTGCCCTCGGTCGTGCCCGCTCTCGTCTGTCCGGGCACTGGGATGACAAGGGTGAGGCCCTCGAACACCTTCATCTCGCAACCGGCAGCCTTTCTCGAGCTCTGGCCCGGCCTGAGCAGTCCACCCCTAATCCCAAGCCTGCCGCTGATTCTAGTGACCCTCCTCTTAGGCGTGCTTCAACTTCTACGTCTTGCCCAGCCGACAGAGCTCGCCGCGCTCCGGGGCCAGGGGACAGGGGATTTCCTCGACTACTCCTGCCATCCCTGTCCGGAAGCGACTCTACGTGCTGCTGCGGCACGCCTCAGGTGCCCCTCCAGCTGTATATCACACCTTCACTGCTTTCAAGAGCTGTGGGCCACCTGCCCACCGTGTGCCACAGATTCCGGACCGAGAGCTAGGTGTCACTGCCACGGGCTTCCCCAAAAAAAGCACTGTGTGAACTCGAGCCCTTGTTCGAGTACGGGCGAGTGTGAACCGTCCACACGCTCAAGATTCCTCCTCGCCCTCCCTCGCCTCGCTGCAGATGCATGTGCCTGCATCCGGCACTGAAGCTTTGTGCTCCTACTTATGCAAAAGAATAATTTGTGAACTCGAGCCCTTAGTTAATTGCGCTCTGCCTTTGATCCCTCTACGACTTCGGGAGATCAGAGCAACAAAAAGATAAGGCAGTCTCCCGACTGGCATCACTCAGGCCTGGAACGCATCGAATCTGAGCCCGAGGCGCAGTTCTGGATTTCTTAAAGACTGGACCTGCCGGAGCTCCGGACATGACATATTTCAAAATACAGTGGAGGTGGTGAGCTTGGAGACGCTGTTGCATAAAAGCGGGGTAATGAGAGATGTGTCTGTCGCAGCATTCGAAACCGCTGTGCGAGAGGCCCATGTTCCATAATGTGAAGGCCACCTATGGCTGTGGTTCTTCCTTACTTGCTCCCATATGCGAGCTACCATGAAGCAAGCCGGAGGCTCAGGTAGTGACTCAAAGCAGGGATCATTCATTGCTAGGGTGCTGTCAGGCCGAGCTGACATTGGGTTCTGATCTGCTGGCCAAGGGTCAAACTGGCGGCCGCTGTTCTTCGCGAAGTACTTTTCCGCAGCTGCTGAGTTTCAAAGCAGCGCTGGCCTCAGAGCGTTTCCCTATGACAAGGCTTATTTTCGTTGAGAGAAGATTTCCGCATGCACTTCTTCTGTCGTTTTGTTCGAACAGAGAAGAACACATTCCAAGAAGCATGCAACTTTTCTTAACGACGGTGCCTGCCAAGGTCAAGCGGTTGTCAGGCACTGAGTGCACACAGAGCCTGGCCTGGTGCTCGTCGGATGACATGAGCTTAGGTCGATGCATTGATCGGTGACGGAGTTCGGTTGATGAACTGGACGTCTTTCAAGTGCCTGGTGTTAGCTTGCATAGCTCGCCATGCTCAGCCAAGTGTGGACTAGTGACTAGGGGGATCTTTTGGGTGAATCTAGACTGTGCCGTGGAGGTGGGCGGACTTCCCTGGAAAGTCTGAGAGCAACATTTATGCTCAGGCCTTAGTCTTAGAGGCGTGAGCCTAGGACCCCGAACATGGGATGGGCTTGGATGGGACCTGCACATGCATGCAGGAGCTTGGCCCTTTCGCATCCGGGTCGACTCCTCCAGTGGCCGGTGAATTCTCGGCACTTGTGTGTGCGGGGCTTTATTTGCATGTGGGCACACAGGTGGCCCCGGCGGACTTCCTGCTATATGGCTACGGCAGCTGCACGGCCTACTGCCGCCAAGTCTGGCAGATGGCAGATCAGATGCCAAGCTCCGCACTCTGTCCAGGCCTGGGCGAAGTTCCTCTCCTCGGCGCTGCGAGCGGCTGCAACCTTGGGCCGAGCTGATAGGTCGCAGAGCAGAGCAGGCGCCCCATGGAGAGCCCAGAGAAATAAACTGCCTTTTGCATCCAGGTCGGAGTGCCGGCCAGAGAGGTCGGGTCGCAGCTGCCCCAGAAATCACCCCGCCCGCATCTCTGCCCCTCGCTTTCGCGAAGTGCTCCGAGCTGTCAGGCCCTGCTGGAACACCGGCATCTTCACAGGCCCGGGCCCCTTTTTTGGGTGACAGAGCTGCTGCATTCGACTGACGACGAGATGGCCGGAGGCCTCGCGGAGTCCAACGCCAATGCAAGGACCTTGGGCCACACACTTCTGGCGGAGAGAATCAGGGATGCGTGAAGCATACAGCAACAGGTCAAGCGCCTGCAGCAGGTCTTGCCAGTTCTCAAAGGCCTCTCCTGGACCTGAGGTGAGGTGAGGCAATGTGAGGCATGATGATGTGGTGAGCCATGGTAAGACCCTCCCATTCTTACCGGTCTGGGAATGCTTAGTTCAGCATCTCGGCATGTCGGTCATTAATTTTCCGTGCATGATCCACTCAACCACTCCAAGGTCTCCTTGTGCTGGCAGGGAGGAGTTTCTGGCGGTCCTGTCGGCGGAACGTGCCCCAACTACTTGACTGCCGACTGATGCCGTGCCGGACCGTGCCCATGGAATCGGAGCTTTGACAAGGTAGGGCTTGCCGGAAGGTATCTCAACAACCACAACTGGCCGCAGACTCGGATCTCTCCATTTGAGGGATGCTAGCCCTGGACACAGCATCTGGAGCAAGAATCGGCTGGCGAGTCTTTCAAGTAGCCGGTCTGGAAGCAAGCAGCCGTGAGATGTTAAAGTTCGCCTTAGAGCCGCTGCCGGAACGTTGTCCAAGCTGGATCCTGCTGAGACTGACTGTTTTACGCCCAGGGTGGAGTACTGGGACAACACCGCGCACACATGGCCAGCTCGCAAGTGCGTTGATGTGGTTCTCTTCGCTATCATCGACACTCGTGGGCTTTTTTCGCAAAGGCGCTTCCTGGATGTAGCCACTAGCTCTTCTTCCGAGACCACTTGGTTTTGTGATGGCCCGAGAAATGTCATGTTGCTGGCTCTGACCCAGGAGATCCATGCGATCTCATCCCTGTGGTCTGTCCTGCTGACCTGCGATCCACGCTTGCTCGGTCAGGTGGCAAGTTCCAGGATGGATGCAGCTGCACTAGCAATGCCGGGCTTGCGATGCAGGAGAGTGCAGTTCCAGCTTTTCACTTGTTCGGCTCCACATGTTGGTGCTAGGGTCTCATTGCAGCAATCTTCTGAAAGTTCAGTCGGCATTAGCCATTAGCAGCTACTAGCATTCTACGGCCTATGGCTCAGCATCAAATCGAGAAGAGCAGGCAACTGCCTGATCGCATGGTTGGTTTCGCACTTGCCTGCAACCTGCGCTAGTTACGTCCGGCAGCCAGATCATCCTTTGTAAGCTCTACATGGCACTTGCAAGCCGTCCCTTCCAGCCATATTCGGGGCGTCCGTTGGCTTTCGGCCAGTCCCTTGCCAGACGGGACAAGCGAGAACCGATCTCTTCGCAACTAGGCTGCAGGTGCAGGGGGCAAGCAGCTCTGCACCTGTGTCTGGCAGGCCCGGGATTGCGCGCCAATTCGAGTCTCTGGCCTTGCAGTGCGTTCTGGGTTTGCAGGGGTTGGATGGCAAAGAGCTGGTGGGAAAGCGGTTTTGCGGGCTCGTGCCTCAAGGCTCGGGACGTCCAAGGTTCACCTGATTACAAGCTCTGAACTTGTAATTAAGCCATAGCACCGGGTGATCCAGGCCACATGGCCCACGGCCACGGAAGGCCACGGCCACGGAGCTCGACGGGCAGCTGGGCAAGGCAATTGGTGGGAGTTGATGACACACTCTCGAGCCAGTGCATCTCAGGCACATAGTTTCGCCGGTCACAGGGAGCCCACATCGCTACACGTTGATCTACCTGCATGGCCTCGGAGGCCTTCAGGAAGAGAGCCAGAGAGAGTGCCACTGCAAGAGCTCTCCCTGGCACTGGTGCGAGATGGGTGGCTTAGCTTCGCGAGAGTGATAACATAAGCGACAGAGTGCTGAAGCCATTCTTGCTATTCGAGCTGTGAAATGAGTGTCTGTGCGAAAGGGCCTGGCTCGGTGTGTCGATGCCATTCAAGCGCATGTTGGGGTTTGCGTCCAAGTCTGCTTTTGCGATCGGATGCTGCGTGGCGGGTCTGGTGCGAGAGACTACAAAGATCAACGCTTGGAACTGGCATGTTGCTCTCGTCCCTGCGGGAGACGTACTTAAGTACTTGGCAATGCTTCGGGCTTGACTGCCACGATCTGTTTTCAGAGCTTCGTGTGTCGCACACGTGCCAGGAGCTGGTGGCAGCTACGTCTCTGCAGACAGCGAGCTGGAGCTGCCCTGGCGATTAGGCTCTTAACTTAACAGGTAACTTAACAGGGGTAAAGAGTGGCGCAGGGTGGAACTCTTGCAGACATCTGCACCAGCCTTCGAGGTGATTCTTATGCACCTGGACTCCGTGCCTAGGCCTAGGCTTTCACGACAGACTGAATGTCGAGGCAATGTCGTCAGGTCTCACAATCATCAGCCCGCCGCTTTGGTGCCTTCCTCTGCATTGTGCAGCATGTTCAGGTGCCGTTCTACCAAACGCACCAAGCATGGCGCAGCCTTGGGGGGAGGAGCTGGCTTCGTGGCCGCTCCGCCTTAGCAGTCTGGCCAGGGCACAGCATCGTCGGCCTTGCACTCAACGTGTCAAGGTACGTTTACCGGGCCTTGACCAGCAACGAGGCTGCCCTGACGGCTTTTGAACATGTTTTCGGCTTTTGGCACGTAGTTTTCCCAGAGGTGGCCGATGCGGAGAGCTTGGCATCCGTTCGGCGGGCCTTAGATGAGGTGGGCTACCTGCTACCTTGCCTTAGCTGCAGACCTTTCTGGCTTGGTGGTGATTAGTGCTTTTTGCCAAGGGTGCAGCACATCGCCTGGCCAGGTCATCCGGAACGAAGTTCGCCATCTTGACGGGGATGATGCTGGGAGAGATTCAGAATGTCCAGGACGGTCACGATACCACAGATGCCAGAACCTTCTCAGCAGAAGCAACCTACAGCCAAGGGCCGGCGTGTTTTTCTCGGCGGCATCTCACAGGGATGCAACATGGCGCAGCTTGGTAGCACAGGGCAAGACTATGCGAGACAGGCGATTATGTATACAGTCGTGTGCCAGTGTCGCTGGCTCGTACGGTTTTACATGAAGGCGGCATAGACTCTTCAGCCGCCGCAGCAGGCTCGACGCATATCTGCGGCGGCCTGGATGCACAAGCCATCACACGGGCAACTGATCATGGAGCTGGCGTCGCCGTGCTCTACCAGAGTGTCAGATGAGGCTGGCGTCCACCTTAAACCTTGGTGGCTTTGTTGGCAGTGTGCCTTTCTCGGGCCAGAGCGTTTGCCAACCTTCTGTACGCATTGTCCTTGTTTGGGGGAGACAGCAACTCTGCTCAAGGTCGGGTTCCTGCCCAGCGATCGACAAGGCTTTCCTGGCTCCGATAGGGCTCTCAGGACCTGCGCTTCACCATTTCACGGAGTTGTGTCGAGCAAAGCAAGCTACAGGACCTTGCTCGAAGACAGTCGTCAGGTGCTTCTGTTCACCCGAGATGCTCAGAGACTTCTATACTACACAGTCTGTACCACCACGGCAGTTTGGATGCTAGGTGCTTCAGCCAGTGTGGCTGCAGAGTGCGCCGGGAGACACGGATGAAGTGCCATATGACCTTGCTGCGGGCCGAGACTTCTGCAATGCAATCAAGGCTGGGTGCTAGCGAAATGTGGCGAGGTGCAGTCGTCGCTGCTCCGAGCACGCAGTGGATGGGCCGGTTTGCAGCTGCAGAACATCGAAGGCATCATGGGGTGGAAAACGTTTGGGACGGAAGAAAGCACCAGGGTTTTGGTCCAGCTTGTGTGCTCCCAGGGGTGGGCCACGACATTGGCCAGTTCGAGGCGAGCATTCTGAACGAGTTCTTACGGCAGCATGCAAGTGACGCCTACTTCGAGGTCGAGGGCCTGGATTGGGATGAATTCGAGATCGAAATAGATGTGGGACCGCCCATTCCCGGCATCAATGCATGACGTCCCAGGCCCCCCAGCTGCATGTACATAACGGCACTGGAACCCGGTGCCCGCATCGCTTCGCCAGAGATTTGAAAAAAGGGCCTTTGCCAGCGCAATGTCTGCACGGGATGAAGCCTGGGTGGCAGGACCACGAGATCCTCGCTCCAACCTGGAGTGCGGTGCCAACCTTACTCTTCACAGGGGGCATTGTCCTCCTGCAATGTCGGGCTTGTCCTAGCTAGGTGGGAGGCAAAAAAAACAGGGGCATTACAGGCCAGGCAGTATCAGTCCGCTTGGAGCAGGTTGGCGATGATCCAGAAGTACATGGTGGCCCAATTCTGGCATCTCGGCTCTGTCATGGGTAGGGAGCTGGCTCGTGGATTGTGGCATTGTGACCATCTTGGCGAGGACGTCGCCAAAGATCTCGTCCTTAGCTTCTGGGCTGCATCGGTGGTCTACGCAAGCACCTGCTGGCTACCAGAGAGCAAGACTTTTTGCGAGTGGGGCAGGCTTTTCAGGATGGCGATAGCCGACGCTTAGTTGACATGCGACCTGCAGGTTCAGGTGAGGCTGTGTCGCCTTTGGTTTGGTTGGAGCCTCACATATTTAGAACCCAGAAATTTTGCACAAGCTGTAGATCGGCAGTCTGTCAAGCGGGAGCCTTGCGGGATCGTGCCTTGTTTGGCCTTTGTGCTTTCCAGCTCAAGTCACATCCCGCATGGCATAGCCTCGGAGACTGGCTCCGTGCCCGGAGAAGCTTGGCTGCTTGGCTCATTGCTACAAGCGCAGCGTCTCATCGATCTTCCAAGCTTTCCTTGCGCATTTACATTTGTAATGGCCGTCACATAGCCATGGTTGCCCTGCACGTCGTTCTGCAATCTTACCTGCACAACCTGTCCCTCCCTCCAAGTGAAAGAGAGCAAGATCAAGGACTACGAGCATGTCGGCCCTTTTTGACTTCCAGGGCCTGTTGGTCGTTATGCTGCTCAGCATCTGCACGTGCTCCTATTTGAGACCACGCTTCGGGAACTTCCTACAGCCGAAGGTGCTGCGGTTTAGCATGGGAGCGCTTGGCGACACAAGTCCGTGACAGGGTTGTCTTGCTGGCTCGAAGTGCATGCTTCGACCGGCGTTTCTTTCGGCTGCCTTCTGCATGCAGGTTGTATTCGATCCGTGTATCGCGAGTTGGAGCTGCTAGTGCACTGAAGCATCTCTCTGTCTCTAACAAATCACGCAACCAGGCACCTGGTTTCCTGGGCATGTTTGGCCGGTTCGCAGTGATCGGAGACCGCCTCAGCCCCTTCGTCAGCGTAGCGTGCATGATAATGGCGTCGCTTGGCCAAAATGTGTGCGTGCCGACGGGTTCCCGGTGTCGTAATACTTGTGTCGGCAGTGCCGCCAGCCGAGGATATCGACTTTGTTTGTCAGATGACGGTAGTTACTTGGCAGTGAGCCAATGCTTTCACCGGAGATGGACCCGCCACGCTTTGCTTTCATGCAGCCTTGGGGCGATGCAAACGGTCGAGCACAAGCCAGACTTAATCTTGTCTGGACAGCGAGGGCAGCCCACGCCGCCAGCCAAAAAGTGATTGTTGCGGACCGCGTGCCGCGCATCATATATCAGGTGCATCGTGGTATTCTGCCAGCTTGTTCTCATCGTCGGATGCATCGTAGTTTCGCAATCTGGTTCAAGACATAGTCGGGATTGTGGCATGTGTTCGCCCAGAACTGTATCATGAAGAGGTGTCTTGACCTGTTCTGACACTTTCGGCCTGCAGTGGATTGTTGAGCTAGTCTAGAACACACCTCGTCACCTCGCCAGCTGGGCTGCAGAATGGTTGCCTCGGAGCTCGATGTCTCCAGCTTCCACATCAAGGAGGCTGGCTGGTGGCCATTCAGCGACTGTGGCTGGTTCTTCGCATCTCCCCGTGCCTGCTTGGAGGCAGGGCCCTTACATGCTTTGTCCCCACTCTTTTTTGACATTCGCTGTCCACCTGCACACACCCGGAGGACATCGTCAAAGACGCCCGGGATGCAGCACATTTCACGGCGCATGTGGCTGGTATGATCCACACCAGGTCGGCCAAAGCTTGGGCAGAACAGGCGGCCAGCCGCAGCGCAGAAGCTCTGGATCAGTCGCAGAATGCCCTGCACGAAATCACTCGCGTTGAGGCTTGGCAGAATTCTGCAGGACCCTGCGCGGGGGTTCTTCTCATCATGCCGCTGAGGGACAGGGTGACAGACGTGCCCCTACGTCGCATGCCGGACTTTCTGACGGCACCAAAAGTCCGCTGCATGTCAAGTATCCGACTAGTTGGCCTCCAGGGAGACCTGCAACCAGCCCAAGCTGAGCGGTCCCTTTTCAGGTCGCCACGGCTGACCTCGCCGCTGGGAATCCCTCTGAAGAATGTCGGACTGAGAGCCTGCAGCTGAGATGTGACATGTGGTCCTTGGTGCACAGCGCATAAATGCAGAGAGCGGCCGCCCAAATCCTTTGCGCTTGCATTTCGTTGCCCACACGCGCCCGTAGCTCGCAGCACGCCCTGCAAAATCACCTGTGCACAGCCGACAGTCACCATGCAGGGCCACCGCCTCATGACACGAGCAAGCAAAACAGTACTTGTACCAGTCCCAACGGCGCTGTCTTTGCTTCGCCATGGTGACAACGCAGCAGAATGCGCAGCAAGAAGTTCTGCGCTTCAGCGAGTTCCGAGCTCAAGAAAGGGGACCCGAAGGGGCGAGTCATTATCAGTCAGTGAGATGCATCCGGAGGGATTAGCGACAAGCTGAAGGTGGTTGTCGTTCTTATGCCGTGTGACTTTCAAACACCAGCAAGGTTTTACAAGCTCCGCGACGCGGATTTCAGACCAAATCCCGTCACACACCTGAGACCTTGGGATGGGAAGTTGTGGTACGCAAAGCAGACATCTTACAACGCTTCAGTGTGGCGGCTGCATCATGCCCGCAGCATTCCGATCCGAGGATATGACAGTCTGAACATTAACTTCACCAACGCGGGCTCTCTAACCCGTGCCATCCGACGCGGAAAGCACGTGGAGCCGCTGTGCAAAATCCTGCCTTCCTGTCGAATGGTGCCCGTGAAGGCAGGAGCCGCTGGTGGATGAGCCTGTGACGTGCACGTGCGCAGCATGTTCTCCTCCAGAATCGTTGGAGGCTGGGCTGCCCGATGCCATGATGCGCCCCCGATATCCGTCTGAGCCCAGCCTCGGATTGGATGTCGGGAAGGCTCAGGTCCAGGACTCCTTGAAGAGGAGGACCTTCGTTAATGTAGAGGTTGTAATAATACCCCCGCCCCCCGCCCGAGGTTGTTTTGTCGAAGGACTCTTGGGGTGGTCGTTCGGACGAGGGGGTGGCAACAAATAAACCTCTGGCCGGGTCCGGGGTCTGCAGTAATAGTAGTAATGGTAATGGCTGCCGAAACTCTGTGAAACGCAGCAGTTCTCCCAGCTTGGAGCTTCTGAGACGTCGGATCTGCTCTGATTGCCGAAGGGTGGAGTGAAAAGTCTCTGGACCTGCACTCTGCGAGCTGGTAGTTCAGTGAGATGTCTGAGAAACTGCACTCTGCCAGCTTGCTTTCATAAGCTTTCCCTCAAGGCAAGCCTGAAGATTTTTGGGATTTGGGGCCAACAATATTTTTATAGTCACTCTGTTTCTGAATATCACCCGGGTCCTAACATCAATTGTTTGGCCGGATCTGCGGTGATCTGGATCCGCACCCTACAGTAGTCTTCCGCTGGGAAAGTCTGGGCCGGGGAATCATTTAATTGTCACCCTGTTTATTCGTGCATGACTCTTCACATTACAGCTGCATAGATGAGTCGCAGAAAAGCCAACAGAGGACCTCCGACTCCGAGCTTTCGCAGATCTCACGCGCCTCCTCCCGGGCCCAGGAAGCCACGGCTCGGACCCAAATAGCCAATGGCGGCTTATCGGATCTGTCTGCAGTTGCTCGTGCACTTCTTGAGGTGCCCCTGCACTGGCCATGTGCAGCACCCTTTGATCGGCCGAGTCGCAGCAGAAGCTTGGCAAACGCATGTGTGCTGAGCATAATGGTGGTGGTTCTGGTGGTGGTAGTGGTGGTAGTCGGATTATAGGATTAGGAGTAGTGGTGGCGGTGGTGGTCGGAGTAGGAGTAGGATCAGGAGTGGTGGTGGTGGTGGTAGCAGAAGGAGGAGGAGCAGGAGGAGGAGGAGTTGGAGGAGGAGTTGTACTAGTTGCCGCGTTAGCTGTAGTTGTGGGGTGGTGGTGGTGGTGGTGGTGCTGCTGCTGCTGCTGCAGCAGCAGCAGCAGTGGTAGTTTTGTTGCAGTATGGCGGCGACGTTCTCAGCTGGAGGGCTTTGGGATCGTGAGCGCATCCGCATCCCCAGGACGCAGTAAAGGTGCACGAAGACACCGGCGACTCGCGAAGGCCATGGAAGCGGCAACGTTCACGCCCCTTTTCCAAGTTTTTGCAGCTCATGGCAGCCCAGAGCCCATGATGTCGGATCGTTCCAGGCTCGTTGTTCTGTTTTGGGCTGAGGCTGCCAGCTTCGCAGGAGGTGGGCTGCCACGAGCCGCGGGCACCGATCCGCAACGGCAATGAACTGGGAGCTCTGGGCCGCACCACTGGTAGGACTACATGGGAATGCATGGGAATGGGACTGCGAGCTTTGAGTTTCGATCACAGCCAAGGACCGTACCTGAACCCTTTCTTGAGTCTCGGTTGCCGGTGGTAAGCCTTTTTAGATGCGAGCCGGCTCCCGGGCAAGTCCAAGCAACTGTGTGTGGCACAAGTCAAGTCCTGCCGTCTTAGCTGCAGCCGCTTTGCAGCTAAGCCAGGATGCATATTTGGCATTGCCCGTGTTTCCTGCGACAAGCTTTTGGTGTAAGCTTTGTTTCGTGACTTGATTGCTCGCTTTATACGAGTTCGCCAACGGAAAGGACCCGCTTCCACGACCGCCGCCCTGGGGGTGGCTTCTTTGCCGGCAGCGGCTTAGCCGCTGGCAAGGTGACCGCCGCAGGCTTATCTTCGCCGGCCGTTCCAGCAGGCACTGTCAAGCACCGTCAAAATCTGATCCGCAGAGGCGATGCCTCCAGCTGCAGCTACGCGGTGAGGACAGAGTTGGCCTTAGGCTGAGGAGTGACGAGAAATGACGAGAACATGTAAAAGATTCGGGGTGAGGATAGATTCAAAGATTCGATTGTGAAAATAGATATCTTGACGTAGGGCAGTTTCACCTGAAGGCTTCAGCTACATGCTGAAACTGTAGGCGTGGCCAAACGTGAACGAAGTTCGACCGCATGACTCAGCTGTCCCTAGCTTCGCGTTCAGCTGCTTGCATCACGAGCTCAAGCTGCGCGGCCATCGGTTGAAGGTGGTAAACCGGACCAGCTTCTACCGCTGCCGCAAGTTGCCCAACTGGACGGCCAACTGCTCAGAAGAATCAAGCGAACCTCTAGCCTACAGCCCCTCACCTGGCCTGGTCCATCTTGGGGCCTTGGATCTTCTGATACTGCTTTGGCTGATAGAGTGCTCTTTTTTTATGCCCATGAAATGTGTCCGTGTGTGTATGTTTGGTGTATGTCCTCGAGACAATGTGCAAGGTAGAGGAAGGTGTCATCTGGGCTTTGGCCGAAGTTGCGTTTGCACTGCTCGGAAGATCAGGAGCACACAGGAAGTGCCTTGTGCAAGCATGGCATTGCGCGACACGTCGTTGTCCTGAGGTCTGATCTCCGTTCTCCGACGATGTTTGCCATTGCATGTTGTGTCGAGGCATTGCCACATGTGTCCGTGTAGCCTCCGCACTTTGCACTTCAGCAGAAAACGGAAGAGCGGAGTGGGAAAAAAGGGCTTTGCTTAGCTTCGGACGTTCACATTGACGGTGAACCCAGAAATCTGAAGCAGCCGGCAGCTCTTGATTCTTTGCTTCTTGCAGCTCAAATTTCACACACCCATGCACCCGCTCGCCATCCATGTGATAATGCCTAGGCACGCCAATCGTCTATAGACATGCATGCTTGTCTTTTCAGGAAATCGGCATTGGCGACCGTCTCTGTTCCACAAACCAACAAGGCCAAGTGAATGAGTAATCAACTAAGTCAGTCAGTCAGTCAGTCAGTCAGTCAGTCAGTCAGTCAGTCATTGTGTAAGTAACGTCTGGTGAGGCTGGTGAGTAAGTAGTTCAGTAAGTAAGACTTACAGAAAGTAGGCAGGCAAGCAAGCAAGAAAGTAAGCAAGTATGTAAGTAAGTAAGAGCATGCAATCTAGCAAATAAGTAAGCCAGTAAGTCAATTACATAGCAGGTAAGTCAAGTAAAAAGCAAGTAACCAGGTAAGTAAGCCAATGCACAAACTCAACGATGACAGCTAGTATGTCACAGATGCCTATTTATTTGGAAAGAGGTCCAGAATATCCTAAGACATCTCCGTTCCACGTGCGCGACAGTAACACAATCATGGATTGGCCAGACTCCATCAGCGCGCCACCAAGCCAGAGTAGCAGAGGAAGATTTGTTGCTAGTCCGAGTCGGTCAGCAGGCGCATGAAATGAGTGGCTGCCTTCTGCCCATTCTTCCTGCATTCCGGTTTCGCTTTTGGCTCGAGTTCGTGCGAAGATCCGGGCTGTCGGCAGGATGTGTCAGCTTTGGACTCAGGCGATTCCAGCTGTGGCTTCGCTTGCGGTTGCGGGGCTTGTGTTGGCCGGCCTGTGCATCAGGGCCCGGAGCCGACATGGGATTCAGATCGCCGTCGATGTTATAGTGCTTGCCCAATGCAACATGCTGGCCAGCAACACTGCGGCCATTGTAGATGCATATGACGTCTCGCGTGCCGTGGACAGGTCAGCGGCATTCTCAGGCCTTCTAATCGGTATTTTCATGGCTGCTAACCTGACCGGGGCTGCATTCTCGACTGTTCTCCAATGTTTCCGCCCTCATCTCTGGAGCACCCACGCCAGACATGCAATGTTCTGGCCCTTGCTTCTTTGTTCTTGCGGCCCTCTGCTCTACTGCGTCCCGACGGGTCTAATTTACACTGGCCGTGGCCAAGAATGGCAGGAGGGCCTCGCTGCACTCCTTTTGTTGAGTCGGATCCTTTCTGGCCTCGGGGCTGGGGCTGCGTCGCAGGTCGGCTTGGTGTGTATCGCCAAGGGTAGCCCCGCCACAGAGAAGTCCAAGCACATGGTCCGGTTTCTCTTTGCCAACATGCTCGGCTGTGGACTCGGCCCGTTGCTGGCAGCCTTCTACCACACCGTCTGCCCCTGCCAGGGTCCGTTCGGCCCCCAGTTCTGGCAGCTCGGTGTGATGAAGGTGATCCTCACCTTGGCCTCCGCCTTTTCGGTCGCCTTCTGCTTCCCCGAAAAATTGCAGCCGCCAGAAAGCGAAGCCGCCGCAAGCGCCGCAAGGGGCGGCGAAGACTTGGAGTCCTCGGAGTCCTCGGAGGACTCCTCGGAGTCTCCCACATCCCAGCATAGAGCTGAGCTTGCAAGGCTGGCGAGGCAGAGGAAAGTGGTGGTCGGATGTTTGGCCATGACAGGTCTGCGTGGCTACTTGATAACCGCGCTAGAAGGAGCAACAGCTCTTTTTCTCCAGAAGCTCTGGACGAGAGAAGAATCAGATTTCATGTTTCTGTTAACAACTTTTTTCGAAAGGCATGCAGGGAACGTCCGGAATGCTTCTACAAGTTCTGGGCGTCCGAGGCAGGACTACGGATGGGAGCTTCACACCATCGGCTTCATGGTGGCGCTGACTTTCCTCATGTGCATCCCCGGCAAGCTGATCCAAGGCCGCCTATCCAAATGCTTGTCCGAGAAAGCCATGATCCGGCTCTTTTCGATAGTTGCCATTCTGGGTGCTGTGTTGAACCTTGGAACGAACGAAGACCCCGCCAAAGTTGTGTGCTGCACAGGTGGTGCACCACCTGTCCTCTGTTTAGCAGCAAGACCGGTTGGGCCAAGGATTTGCCTGCAAGACGGCTGGGTGCTCCTGGTGGCAGACTCCCTGCTCTTTCCATGTATCTACCTTTCGGATGCCATTGGCCGAGGAGTCATGACGCGACACCTCTTGCCTCAAGGTTTCTTCAGACTCACTTTGTCACAAGGTTTGCATGCCAAGGCTGCTAAGATTCCGTGGAAGACACAGCGGATCTCTTGGAGCTTTTCTCCCTGCTTAGTTCTTGATTTCGCAAGGTTCTTGGCTCGACTCCAATCGCGCGTCCTTCTGGACGCTACTGTTGGGTGGTGTGGGGCAGACCGCCGGGCCCTGGCTGACACGATGGATGTTGCAGACATCCACACAGACGGCCTATGCAGCACAGCAAGCGGCTGCTTGGTCTAATGCGTTCGTAGCGAATGGGAGTTTCGTCATTTAATCTACACGCCAGGCCAGTCACACAAGTCTTGTTTGATTCCCAGGCTGGATCTGCAGTGTTCCTGATCATGTTTGAATTGATCGTCCGACCGAACATGCTGGATGCTGTGGCGCAGCCTCGGGACAAGATGCGTAAGGAGGATTCTGGACTGGGGAACAGTCGGAAGACTGACAAAAATGAAGTTTCATCGCAGAGTGCTTGAGGAGGTATTGTGGCCTGCATAGGCTTTGTACAGGCTTGTTCACTGTGTAAAGTGTAGTTCTCTTTCAGTGAAAGAAACAGAATTTTGACCTGCCAAGCCGCTAGCGGGTATCGGCTAGCTCGCGTTATGCGATGGCAGAGACAGGTTTACAGGTCCGGCTTGCCTTGCCACCTGACTGTACTGCACCGGTGACGTCGGCTGGCGATGTACAGGATGCAAAGATGCCAGCCAAGATCGCCGGCCAGAAAACCCAACAACAACACAGCTGGTCGTGCCATGCACGCAAGTGCTTATTGGCGCCCTGGGTCTTAGTGTGCATGTCGGAGTCTTGAGAAGCACCAGCAGGTGTCGAGACATTGCATCAAGAAGCGGACAACATCAGGAGGTGGCTAGATGCTCGACCATCACCAGGTGGGAAAACGATCGAATGGGCTGCAGACTCCACGCCCGACTTGGCCCAACTTGCTCAGCAGGTCCAGAGACAAAGCGCTTGGCGGGCTCACGAGAGGACTTGGCAGGCAGTTCTCGCAGACCAGCTACCACATGTAGCAGGTGAGAGATTCCCTGCTCGAGCTTCGTTCTGAAAGCCTGATGGGCTCGATGGGAGCGTGAATGCACTTACTGGTATTGTCAGTTGCATCGTCGTGAGCGCGAGGTACCCTCGCGAGCTTGGAGAGCCAGATCTCGCAGCTGAGGCACCAACTGGCAAGCGAGGCGCCGCGTTCACCACGAGGGCTCGTGCAGGCTCGCGCGTTCGCGCTGCTCTCGGAGGTGCAGGGCCCTGCCCCTCTCCCTCTTCTCGAGCCGAGCTCGGGCACGAAGGCCGCCCGCCAAAACTTCGGGTGGCTTGGGGTGCCTTTGGTGCCTTGTCGTCTTTGCATAGGCCCTCTTTGCTCCCGCACGGCTGCCCACGACAGCCGAAACGCGTGCACAGCAGGCTCGTGCTCCCGCATAAGGCCCCGAGCCATCAGCGCAGTGACTCAGGACATTCTGCAGCTGCTGCAAGCCACGGCCATGCAATTTCAGGACCTCGGCCTTCTTGAGTCCATCTTTTAGTTTGGAAATAATAGTTGGCCCTTCCTTCTCTACAACGATTTCCGCTCCGAGGATCGCTTCTACGAGGCCGACGAGGCCAAGTGCATGGGGTGGCATGTCCTCTGAACCTTCTTTCGTTTTCTTTGGGTCCAAGTTGTGTCTAACTCATCGGCAGCCATTGTCCATAGTAGCCACTGTATAGTGTGCCTAGTCCGAGCATCGGGTAGAGGTTGACCCCGAACATATCCCTCCTTCGGAAGGATGTATCGGGCCAGACTAGCGCGTCCTGGCTGCTACGAGCCTCCCCGAGCCAAGCATTGCAGCCGCAGGTGGTCATCGAGGCGTCTCTGGCTAAGCTCTCACAAAGGCTTCGAGAACTGCGAGCCCGCTACCAGGCCCCTCCAAAAGGGCATCCTGTTATTCCTTCTCAAGCGTTGACATTGAGGACATGCGCAGCCGCTGCGAAGCCCTGGGTCATCATCTGCAGGAGGCGAAGGCACAAGAGGCGGGTCTCTGCAAGACTTGGAGCCCGAGCTGTCACTTCCACTCTGTTCATTAATGATCATTATAATCATTAATGATCAATAATCATTATATTGTATTTTTCATTGCTTGTCTTGGCCAAAGACTGACAGGCTCAGCAGCTCCTGGTCGACCAAGGCGCTGCCTGACACTCCACGCCCTTCCACCAAAAAAACCGGCCGCAATGCCGGCAGCAAGACAAGAGTTGGCCCTTGCACCTGCAACTATCAAACTATTTTGCTCTGATGGCTCTGATTTCGGAGCTTGCTTGCGCGGGTTCCCATCTCTCAGACTGCGACTCCGAGTCAACGTACAGGTGAGGCCGAGCTCGCGCAGTTGCGAGAAGAGGTCGGGGCCTCAAGCCTCAGGTGGCTCTTGTGCAGTGTGTAAATACGCGGGGATGGTTGTTCTTCGTATTGGCTGGTACTGATGAGCAGGTAAGCAAAAGGTAGAAGAGCAGAGTGCACTGTGTGGGAAGTTTCTTCTGTGTTGGTCCAGCGGTGCCGCTGATGAGTCAGCCAGGGTTCCGGTCACGGTGCAGAAACGCTGAGACTCGGACTCGGAGAGTCGTTCGTGCGTATAGTGCAAGTTCCAGGTCCAGGAGGCACAGCGCCGCCGTTCCGAGGCGGAGCGCGAGGAGAATCTCCGAATTTCAATTCGGACGCCTCTCAGTTGATTTTGGGTGCCACCTGCAAAGGAGCGAAGGCTGGCCGCAGCCGCGAGGCCTGTGGTGAAACGGACGGTCCACCTATAGGTCCTAGGGTCCTAACCCGTCAGCTAGGCTTTGGGTGGACGGGGCCAGCAGAGCTCCGGACAGCTCTAGTGTTTGCTGTCGAAACGAGGAGGGACGAGCAATCGGGCAAACCATGGTGGAACGACCTGAAATCACGGAACAACGACTCAGCGTGACTCCTGCCAAAACCCAGGCAAACGGACTTTGGCTGGCATCGGCTGAATAGCAGTAGTCCTTGCTTTTGATTCTTGCATCGGGCACGACACTGTCCTTTCTGGGGCGATTAGTGTTTCGTCACCTTTTGGATCAAGGCCTAAGGGTGACGCAGAGCAGCTTTTCCCAACACTGCCTCGCACCGGAGCCGAAAGGCATGGCCTTCTCAGGCTCCCCGTTTCATCATCACTTGAAGGGCCTCACGACCGAGTATGAGAGACTCGTGGCCGAGAATGCCGAGCTGCGAAAAGAGTTGCAGAAGGACGGGGCTTGAGAGAACCTGAGAGAACTATTGTTTCTGGAACTTCTCTGCTATTTTCAAAAGTTTGAGGTTGAGCGAGATGACAAATGATCACCACGTCGCCTGAAGGACCCGTTGCGAGCCCTCGCCAAGGACGGCGAAACCGTCAAGCCGGTCAGTTTGGCCGTGGTGGCGCCTCTGAAGCCTGCTTGCTTGGAGTTGCCGCTTGCACCTGATCAGTGCGTGGAAAGCCATATAAATCGTTCAAAAAATTTCCGCCCTTGCCGCGCAAAAGCATTCGAAGTCAGGCCGGGGTCTGTGCCGACCGACACAGACTCGGCACCGCCAGGGCCCGGCCACTTAGCGGCAAGAGAGATGCCTCGAGAAAGCGCCTTACTTTTGGATTCTACTCAACCTTGTCGGTCGTGCGCTACGATTCACAGCATCATGTTCCTAAGATGTAATCTAGTAATCTTCGCTCTTGCTGGCCACCCCTTTGAGGTGGGTTTCAAGCACTGAGAAAAGTTGAAACGAAGGGTTCATGGCGGGGCAGTCCTGCCGCAACCAAGGTGATCCTCCACCGTCGCTGGACGAGAGAAGGAAGTCCCTCACCACCCCAATAACTCCGAGAAGTTCTAAGTCGTCCCTTCATACTCCACGTGGCGGGAAGGCCCGCGTACACGATGTGCCACTCGGCATTGACAGAGCATGCGGCTAGTTAGGTTGTCTAGGCCCTCATGAGAGCCAGCGGATGGCGACAGAGTGGTTCAGCAGCGAGTGAATGCTTTGCATGAATCGGGCGCGCTCATGGTGCGGAAGGTGCGAAGGTCTCAAGTCGGCACAGTCTGACTCGCTAAGGACCCCGGAAGACAACTCGACTTTCCTGTTGCTGTTGGACATCATTCCCGCTTGTGTCATCTTGGTAAATGCTGCAGTGGCAGGCGGCCTGGGCATGCGATGAATGGCCAGTGATGAACACTGCAAGACGAGAGCAATCTAGCATTGAATCGCCTTGTCTCGAGGCATAAGCGCTGACATGGATCCAGAGAATCCGATGTGGCAGGCCGTTCTGTCACTTACCGGTGGTGACATCGTAGGGTCGCTACCTGCAAGCATCCGTACGAATTTGCATTATCTCTTCGATGATGCATGAGCATGGAGTCCAGACGGTTTGGCCATCGAGCGTTTGAATCAGCATAAGTAGCATAAGAGCGAGCAACGAGTCCCAGAGGTGCTCGAAGTTTGCTTCACCATCTTCTTCATTGCGGAGATCATAGTGAAACTCAAGATCTTTAGCATTCGAGAATATCTCCTTGGCGCGAGTCCTACTGATAGCCGTCGTAGCGGTAGCTGTCGCCTACGTCGATCGGCGCTTTTGTTCTCAGGCCCGGACTGGTATTGGTCCTGGTTTGACATTCTCTGTGTGGTCCTTGCCCTAGTGGACCTGACCTTGACAATCTCCGCCGAGACGGACGTCCAACGCACGACAACAGCTTTGCCTTCGAGTCTCTTGCCATCCATAGAATATCATGCTGTGCCGTAGTTGCCATACCGAATATATGCCCGCTGAGATGCAACACCATGTGCGCCTGATGCAGTGGCGACGACCACTAGCGAGGGGAACAGCGATGCAAGTGTGGCATCAAGCCTTAAGATGTTGAAGCTGGCCCGCCTTGGCCGCATCATCCGATTGCTGAAATTCAAGCCCCCCGGAAGCAGGGATTGTACAGTGTGGAAAGTCAACGATCGAAAAGGCTTGTTAGGCATATCGGCCTGAGGATCTTCACAGAGCTCAAGCTGATGATCCAAGGGGTCGCTGCGGCCTTGACTTATTGCCGATGCATGGTTTGAAGGGTGACGCAGTGCGAAGCCCTGCCGTGAGTGTTACTGTTTATGCATGGGCAAGATCGACTAGGCAGTTTTGGACTCCCCCGCCCCCTAAGCCCCCCAGGCATCCGAGAGGCGTGCGAACGTTGTCATTCATTGTTGTTGTTGTTGTCAGTTGTTGTTGACTTGAACAGGTTTTCACCGGACTACGAGTGTTGTTCTGGGCGGTCGTGTTGCTGCTCCTCTGCATGTACCTGCTGGGGGTTGTGACCAAGACCCTCTTCTCGAAATATGCTGCTCGGCTGAGCGAACCCGCGCTAGTGGTGCAGCAGTTGTGTGCGTTGATGTTAATGGACGAAGTCGGGGCCGTGTGCAGCAAGCAAGCGTGTTGCCCGTGCTGTGCTGCTATGACAACCGAGGAGGAGTTTGAGTATGTCCCAGATGCCATGTTCACAAACTTCCGATGCTTCACTGATGGTTGTGCGGCTCTGCTCGATATGATGTATTATTCAGTGTCACAGGGAGCGGAGATAGAGAAAGTGAGAGGGCTCCCATCGGTTGTTCAACAGTTGCTGACTCTGTGCTACACCGTAAGCCTTGAGAGATGGAAGTTATAAAGCTAGCCATTGCTTGCTGCATCATCGAATTATATCGTTCGTGTACATCATCTCAAAACTGCGAGTGTTGGAGCTTTTGCAGTTTTTGCACGGCCCGCTCTGATAATGTCCGGTGAGACAGAAGTGACTCTGCAAGTCAATCCTGTAACCTCCCATGGACCTTCTGTTGAGGATCTGTTCAGCCAGAAAGGCTTAGAGACATTGTGTGTAGCTGCTGTAGCTGCGTTACACACTATAGAGCCACTAGAGCTTCAGGAATGCAATACTTCTTGCATGTGATGCGTCTGTCTTCCAATTGACAGAACACCAGTTGTGTCCTCGGGCCTGCCATGCGGTAGCCAAAAGTCGTCAAGAAGCTGCGGAGTCCAGGAGCCGGGAGGTTATTGGGGTAGTGACTGGTAGTGGTTTCCCACAGCCGCTCTATACCCCAATCTCGCTTCGCTCCACGCGAGAGTGTGCATGCAGAAAGACAGAAATACAGGACGAGCGTGAGCGAGCTATGCCTGCATGTGCAAAAAAGAGAACCACACCTTTCATTCCTGTATCATCTTCTCACCTGGTCTTCATTCACACGAGGCAGCTCTGGATGGCACTCCACTGCAAGAGCGCCTCCGAAGAGAAGAAGGCTACGGAATCTTCATGCACCTCGGCGAAAAGGAAGCATTGCCGCGTTGCCGTCGTTGCGAGAGCTACAGAAGAGACGGCTGGATGCACGCAGCGGCAACAAGCGTTGTCGAGGTTCGCTTACATTCTTTTGTATCTCTTCGTGACGATTGGCATCTTCAACCTGATCATGGCAGCATCTCGCCTGCAATGCTAGTGTTCGGAAGGTCTTGACATCGGATTGGTCCAGGGTCACTTTCACTGCCAGCAGGGGCCCTTGTTGACCGTGCCTTCTTGCGCGTGGCAAAGTTTAGGAGGCTCAGGAGTCCAACCAAACACCACCCTGGCTGCTTGAGGTCTTCATCGACAACGTTGCAGACGGCAGTACGAAAAAGAGGCAGCGCGAGCTGGGTGAGAACGCACCGAGAACCGACACTTGAGCTGAACGATTTAGCGGCATGTCACGCAGAGAGCTTTCCTGGACTGCTGAGAAGGGAGGTAGGAAAAGACCGTTGCCTGGTTCTGATGCTTGTTTCTGACGTGGTTACAACCCAACCTTGGAAACGCAATAGGATGAGCCTTTTCTGCCCGAGGAATGGGTCTTGGCAACATCTCTCAGGCACCTTATCCTCACGAACATCTTCCACAAAGAGACAAAAGATATGTCTCACATCAGCGAGGAGGAGCGAAAGAGAATCCTCAACGAAAAGTTGGAGAAGCTTCGAGAGATGTACGGCTACATGCCACATACGGCTCAGGTGCCTGGGCTTGCAGTATTGTCACAGCACGTGACGACTTCGCGTAAGGCCGTAAGTTGGGCCAGGTGACATTCGACCAATTTGAAACAAACTCCGTTTTGTTCCGTTTATTTCCAGGCTTCCTTTAGCAGATCTTCGCTTTGGCTTGGCACGCATCTGACACATTGTAGTGTTTTCGCACTTGCCAACCGTTTCTTCCGGCATGTTTCACTTCAAGTGAAGCTTTAGGAACAACATCCCATCTTGTCCGAGCTTGTCCGAGCTATGTCAAACTCTCAAGGAGTATGAGGCTTTGGCCGACGACATCCGCACCGACATGACCGATCGCAAAGTTGTGGTTACGCAGGATCAGTTCAACAGGCCAAGCCGCTGAAGTCTGGCAGTAGTTTTGGTTGTTGACGCATGACAGCCCTAGGCTTGGAAACTTCGTTTTGCCTTGCAGGTGGCTCTGCACAGAAAAGGACTTGATCACCAAGCTTGAAGATGCCGAGATCGATCTCTCATGCAAGTCAGATCTCTTCGACACTTGGTCCGGCGAGAGCGTGCGCAGCACCTTTGTGCCATGCTGCGTCAGTGTACTGGAGGCGTCCAATGTTTCAACATGTTTCAACTCATATGTTGGGGCTGAGGGGCCTCTCTATGCCGATTCGTGTCTCTTGCAAACTGCGCACTCAGGAAGTTCTTGACGCCGACCTCAGTGTGGCTCCCAGGCTTAGCATCGCTATCTCTGGATGATTCGACGCATCGCCGCCTCCCGTCTCCGTGCTTTTCGCGTTCGACGGTCTCTGGCCATCTTGCGCGCATCTCTTGCTCTCCTGCTCTCCTCTCCCCTCCTCTCCTCCGCCTCTGAGCTTCCTTGCTGTTCCTGCTCCACTCTTTTCCGTCCTTTCCAATTCGGCCCAGATCTTTCCTGCTTGCGGCTCAGAGGGCGAATTGGTCAGTTCATGCAGGCACGGGCCATGTCCTCCACGCCCCTAAGGCGGGGAGCTCGAGTTCGACGAGATGATCGACGGGCTGTTGAAGTGCCGCGGTCCTGTGTCGAAGACAGATATCATCTCTATCAGGCTGAAGACGGTGCCCCGGCTTCAGTGAGCCTCTGAAACCCGAGAGCTGAAGAGCTCTGCACGCAACGCTTTCTAAGAAGCCTGATCTGCAAGCGAAACGTCCAAGGCCTTGCTTGTGAAGATGATGTCGCAGGTTTGTGAGAAGCTTGGAATTGAAAGCGACGATTAATCCCTCCACCAAAGGTGCTGAGGTGGTTGCAGGAATGCCAACACAACGTGCATCCCAACTGGAACAACAAGAGCTCGACACAGAATGCTTGAAGGGGTGCATTTGGGCATGTAGAGGATTGTTTGGATGCACTGCCGCACCAGCAGAAGAGGTGGAAGTCACGTCGCTAGCATACTTCCCAGAGCAGTGTGCACACAACTTTGGGTTTCTGTGCTGGAGCGGCTTCTGCCACTGTCGTAACAGCTAGTGCCGACTGCATTTCCTGTCCAGTCCAGGTAGCTGGAGATTGGTTGCAGGTCAGTCGCAGGTTTGTTTGAGAAATGACACTGCCCGAGACGCCTTGCGGCAACATTTCTTTTATCGCCGAGAGTTGAAGGAGTCCTGCACCCCCCCCATGCGCCAGGCAGGACCAGGTCATGCTCGAGCAATCCCGGCTCGCACTGCGTAGGCTTCAAGCAAGGCCGGAGACGCGACCTGGCTTTTTTTGCATATTCTTGCAATACAGCTCAAGATGTGTCAGCATACAGCCCGTTCTGGCAGGAATGCCGAGCTGGAGCAGGAAGTGGATATGTTACACATGTTGAAAAAGCACCTGCCCATGACTGCCAGCTGTTGTTCTGCTTTCGCTTGCAAGCAATCGCAGGGAGGATCGAGCTTTCTTCACCGGAGGATGCAGTTGACAGAACGCAAGAATTCTAGAATGGCGACATACAGTGACATACAGACTTTTCAGATGTGTCTTTCTTGTCTCCGTAAGCAGATGAAATGGCACTGTGTTTCCGAGAGCAAGCTGAGGTTGCATGCGGTACACCAGAAGCCGAAGCCAACGCTTTGCATTCAACCTGCCGTTGGTGTCTAGAGTCTAGAAGCTTGAATCACCCAATCAAGGCTAGCGCCGCAACTTCTTCGGATTGAGCTGACGAGTGGGTTTGTACCATGGCGCATGCGGCGCATGCGGTGGCCGCATGGAAGCGCTTCCGCACCGGCGGGAAGGAGCCCCAGCCGCCCGCTGTGCAGACTTTGCCCGCGCTAAAGTCGCTCTAAGTCACTCAATTTTGAGCTCGGCAGCTCGGCAGGAGGGACGGCATTGCTCGTTAGACCGACAGGCGCTGGCCGTGGCCTGGGTGCTGTCAGCTGCGGTGAACTTCGCCGCACCTGGCAGCGCCGATGACAGGAAGCGGGTCACACATACAGTGTCATAGGATTTCCGCTTGGCCATCCTGCTTTGCGGTTTCTATGGCATTCGCGATCATTCGCGCTTTGTACGCTGTAGCAATTTTTCTGGTCGCTTTCCGACAGGGAAAGCAGTTCGGGATCGCAGATTCTTATCGACTTTCTCACGTCGTCTTGGTACTTCAAACCACATAATATCCCCCCGGTTTACGCGAGTCTCGAATAGGGATGTTTGGGGATCTCCGCTATAGCTGTGCAATGCGACAGGCAATGTACTGAGCTCACATGCTTGGAGGATCCCTTTGGAGAGCCTCAAGGTTGGAACGGAGGTGGATGCCCAGATCCTGGCCAAACATAGATTCAGCGGCTGGCTCCTTGCTCACGGCTGTTTCTGCACTAGAGAGCTTTTCCTTTTTGCCTGCATCTGAGTTTAGTGAAGAATTCGGCTTCATTTGCTGCTCAGGTTTGTCAACATTGGCACAGAGAGGTCAGCCTTTCTTGAGTTCGAGGAAGCTTGCGATGGCTTCCCTACCGAGGGCATGAACACGTGGCGTCGCCTGCCTTGGATCTTGGGTAATGTGATTAATTATTAGATGGTATCAGTATGCCTACAAGGCCCTTTTATTGCTTGGCTGCATTGTGCTCGACCGTCTCATCCGAGTTCGTGGATCGACACTGACAGCCCGTGTGCTGGCACCATGGCTTCCCCAAGTTACCGAGACGGGTTTGGATGGACCTTGAATCATGCGAGAGAGATAGAGATAAAGCCCAAGAGGGAAGATTCTACACACTCCACGCAGCACAGAAGACGCGGCAACTAGGCAACTTGGAGTGGAGGGCATTTGGCAGCGCTGGGCTTCAGAGCGTGGGTGGACCCGTTGGCTGACACTCCGCAGCTTGCAAAAGCAAGGGCGCCAAACGGGCAAAGACAAAAGGAGCGGGGGAGCACCTGTGGCCTGCGCACGGCTCGTGCTTTGGCTTTGGGCCTCCGGAAGAAAGGAAAGGAAAGGCGTTCATTTGGGGGGAGGGTGCGAGGTCAGTGCATTGCATATAGACATCAGCGTGCCAGGAGCACATGTTCCACAACTCGCTCCCAAGCCTTGTCTCACGCCGACCAGACTTGTTGGACCTCCTATTGCGTGGAATGAAGGAAGGAAGGAAGGAAGGAAGGAAGGAAGGAAGGAAGGAAGGGAGGGCGCAGGCTTGCAGAAAGGAAGATGAAGCTGCTGCTTTGTTGTGCAGGGGGGGGAACTCGGTGACACGGATTCCAGGACTACCCCCCTGAAGGGGGGTTCGGGGCCGCCGGCCCTTCGTCTGCAGAAAGATGGATAGAGCAAGAGCCTGCAGAAAGAACCAAAGCTAAAGCTAGAATCCACGTATACAGAAATCCTGGGTGTGTTGCAGAGATGATTGCGACGGTCTGAGCGGGGACATGGATGTGTGTGTCGACACCTTAGTCATTCGATGCCGGCCATTTGACCATATCGGATCATATCGGTGTGGGTTGGCTTCCGTGTGCCGCTTGCCTCTGACCAGATAACTTCCGTGTGGAGGAGTTGCTGCACCTATTGCCCGGCATACTAGTTTCAACATTGTTGGTTCAGCCTTGGTGTTCTGTTGCCACGACCCGGTGTTCTCAAACACTTTGAGAAGAGCCGCCACAACATTCCATCTTGTGGGCAACACAAACGGCTCGGAAAAGGCTGTTTGCCTCCCCTGTTCGCGATTTCATGGAGCGGAGGATGTCTCAGGCATGGTTTGAAGATTGAAGCAGACCACCTACAGCGCGATATTCTCTTGACAGTTGGCTGCGACTCGGGAACTGCTGAGACTTTCAAAAACTGAGTCGAAACCTTGGTGGGAGTTCTTTTTATGGATTGCTGTCTCCGTTTGCTGTAGGGACTCCTGGCTGTGAGTGCCTTTTTTCTAGCAGGCCCATGCTCCAACCTCGTGTGAGACCTTCCGCTTTCTGAGGAGAACGATGGCAAGAAGATTTGGCTAACGACCCGTAGCGGGAGCTTGGATCGTCCGAAGCGCATCTCAGCTACAATAGTTTTGTCAGTCCTGAGTCTTGGCAGGCCATGAGACTTGAGATCAATCATCCAAGGCTTTCGGACACCTCCCGAGGAAAGCCAAATAGCAGAATTCAGCGATTGGGCGGCAGTCGGCGAGTCGCGCTAGCCCACTCGAAACGGTTCTGTTTTGCCCGGCTGCACACCTGGATCCACCCCTCCACTCGACGATCCAACGAAAACGAGGTGGACCGCTGTTGAGTAACCCTGACCTGAGGTGGAATTTCGTCGGAAGAGCCTTCACTGCAACTACTTGCATACGAGTCTTCTGATCATGAGAAGTTTTAGTATTCCAATTCGAGTTTACCACCTTCACATGCTTCGAACTTCGAACCAACTGAAACGCCAGGCAGTTTGGGCTGTCGGTGTCACTGTTGCCAGAGCTCGGTCCGTCCGCAGTTAGCGGGATCAAGTTTTAGATGGAGAGTTTCCGCATGCCATGCCTCGGGACTGGGTGCGGAAGGCTCGCATCCGCGCGTGATGATCTCATGCGATCTTGCTCGTTCCCTGCTGTCGCTTTGGAAGGCACCACGAACAGGATGGTCACCTTGGCATGGTTCTACTGCCGCTTGGCCTTGAGGATGCAGTCGCCTAGTTAGCGTCGGCCAGCAGAAGGTATGCGCCCCGAAATGAAAACACGACCTTCGGTTGACTTTGTACAGGCAGTGGGCGATTTCGCGCGAAAGGAGGAGATGAGGCCCCTGGAATCTGTCGAAGCCCCTTGGCGCATCAGGGGCTCATCCGGAAGGGCGAGCAAAGGGCGAAGCCACTGCTCAGACACGCGAGGCTGGAGAAGAGGCAGAGGCGGAGGAGATAAAGGAGACGACATGGAACTCTCTGGAGGCAGAGACTGAGGTGAAGCTTGAAAGCCGTGCTGAGCAGGCCGGTCTGTTCACTCAAGCTTTTCAATCTTCAAACGCCTTGAGCCGAGGAGGTGGGAAATTGTGAAACAGAGCAATGGGGCGTGCCGCCTGGGTTCGCATTCAGTGCGCCACCGTGGGAATGGTCAGGAGCTGGCAGTTGGCTCCTCACAACAACTTCTTCAACTTTTTTGATTTTGCTGCCGTATAGATTCGTCATTGCCCTGTCACCACATCCGAGCTATCAAGCTGCAAGGCTTGCCGAGGACAGCGCCGAAGCAGGTTTGCGGGATGACGTTCCACTCAACATGTGGCTGCCTGGTTTGTCAGTGGTTTGGTGCACTTGCTTGCCCACCGACGGCAGGATTTGAACAAGTTTTCACGAACCTAGTAGACGATACAGTGCGGCCAAGGTATGGGGAAGATGGCGAGTGGTATGCGGACAACTTCTTTGGCCCAGCGCCTTGATCTGCCTCGAGCCAGGGCTTGCGTAGAATATGGGGATGTCTGGAGCTGTTGTCTGAAAAATGCCACCAGCCATCGAGCCTTGAACTCGTGGGCATGTGGATGTATCTGGCACCTGCAGGCCCAGGCTCTTGTTTGGCGTAGCAGTCAACGGGTCGGTGCAGAGCCCCCAGGCTATGTGGGGCTACGAGGAAGGCGCTGACGGCTTCATTGGACGTCGTCATGGGCAGGTGCAGAGGAATAGCTTGGAAGCTCATGCTCTTACCATGCTCTTGTGTGCGGAGTGGCACGCCTGGTTCCGTCTGGAGTAAAGACCCGGCACTGATTCTGCCCTCCGTTTGCACCGCTCTGACTAGGTGCCGAAGCGCGCGAATCTGAAGGAGCAGTTCGAGAAAGAGCAGTTCGAGAAAGGCTCGTTGTACCCAGGGAGGGACCAAAACATCGCACAGGGATTGTGGGAGAGAGAGGGATCAACACCAAATCAAACAGGGACCAGCAAAAAGTCATGTAGGGATCAGCAAACAAAACATCAAACTCAGAAATGCAATCAATTACAGTGCTTGCAGCCCGTGAACACTTGACTTGCGAGCTGGTATTTCTCTCACAGGGAAGGAGGGCTGGATCTACTACCAATACTACTAGTGCCACTACTACGATCGTCGCTACTCCGACGACGATTGCCACTGCTGCTAGTATTTGCTACTAACTGTCATCAACAGCAACAACAATGACCACCACTATCACTGCCACTACTACTGCCACCACCACCGCCACCGCCACCGCCACCACCACTACCACCACCACCACCACCACCACCACTGCTGCTACGGCTACTGTTGGTGCTGCTGCTGCTACTACTACTACTACTACGACGACGACGACGACGACGACGAATACTACTAATTCTACCACTAGGGTCACCACTTCTCCGACGACGATCCTGCTGCCCCATTACGAACTAACACTAAAGACTACTAGTCCACTGTCTGCTACAACAACCACAACAACAACTACTACGACGACGACGACGACGACTACTACTGCTACGACGACGACGGCTACCTACTACTACTGCTGTTTCAGTTCCATGAAGAAGACGAGTGCTGACATAGTGGACATCGTAGATCTCGGATTGTGACCTTGCAATCTGCTTGTGTATACCTCGTAACTGTAAATTCATCATTCGTGCGGTTGGGCTCGCTCCAATCAAAGGTCAAAGGCAGAATCACGCAAAATTGTTTTGTCTGTTGAATGCAGTCACGAGGGCTCTCCCTTTTGGATTGGGGATCGTTTGGTGAACTTTCTAAAAGGGTTTCCAGTGGCCTTTGGTTGTTTCTCACCTTGAGTCCTCGACCTACTGCGGTATGACGATGGCTTGGTGTTTCAACCCTGTCGCAGATTTTGCTGTTGGGAAAGTGCGAAAACTACTAGGCACGCCATTCAACTTGTGGCGACTTTTCTTCGGGGGTTGAGGCTTACTTTGTGTTATGGCTTGGATTTTCCATTCATGTTTTCTTTGGGGGTTCATCAATATTGTAAGCCTCGATCCATGACACTCTCGTGAACCGTCAAGGCCTCGCAGTGCTGTCATCGATATGCCAAGTGAGTGACAAGAACTACTACTGCTACTGCTACTGCTGCTACAACAACAAGTACAACAACAACGCTCCATCATCGCGTAAACGCGCGCAAGCGAGAGGGCGATTTCATCGGTATTTTCGGTG